AGGCTTCATCGAGAGAGTGAAATTTCATCAAAGACTACAAGGAGGAGAAGGAACTGGACACTCACCCACTAGGGGAGGGCCAATGCTCTAGAGCAGAGGATCTCAACCTTCCTAAGCTGTGACCCTTTTATATAGTTCCTCATGTTGTGGTGACACCCCAACCATAAAACTATTTTTTTTTTTTATCATGAAGATATATATATTTTTTAACATTTTATTAGGGGCTCATACAACTGTTATCCCAATCCATACACACATCAATTGTGTAAAGCGCATTTGTACATTGTTTCTCAAAACATTTTCTCTCCATTTAAACCCCCGACATTAGGTCCTCATTTTTCCCCTCCCTCCCTGCTCCCCCCTCCCGCATGAGCCCTTGATAGTTTATAAATGGGTATTTTGTCATATCTTGCCCTGGCATAAAACTATTTTTGTTGCTACTTCATAACTGTAATTTTGCTACTGTTATGAATCAGGTGACCCCTGTGAAAGGGTCATTCGAACCCCCCAAAGGGGTCACCACCCACAGGTTGAGAACAATTGCTCCAGAGTGAAAGGCCGTTCTTTGATGCGCTCAGGTGCTGGTGAGAGGAGGAGGACAGGAATGTCCTTGGGGAGGATCAGGTGAGAGTGAGAGGAGGGGAGGAAGAGGGAGAGGTAATGAAGTAGGAGGGTAGCAAGGATAGCATTGACCACTGTTGTATACACTTTGGTTTTTCAACGGAGTGAAATGGGAACCCATGGTCGGAGTAGCCTTTAGGATCAAAGGAGTGACAGTATCTGACTTTTGATTTAAAAGGGTCTTCCAGTTGCAGAAAATTAAGACAAGTCTGCTAGAGCCAAACTATGACCTTGAGACCTACATCCCACCTGAATGTAGAGACTATCTCAAGAATAGACTTGACACACTGAACCCAAATGACTAAGACCGGATCTGTTGTGTAATAACATCAAGGACAGATTAGATAAAGGAAGCAAAAGGTCATTAAAAAGACAGGGAAGAAAGACAAGGCCAAAACAAATGCTTCGATGGTCTCAAACAAAGCAGTGATTGGAGGATGGGGCAAAACTGAGCAGTCTGGTTCTGGTGTACATAGGGTTCCCATGAATCGGAACTGACTTGATCATACCTAACAATAAGAAATCTGGTTGCTGGTTGATATTCGACTTCTGTGTGTCGTGGGTAGGAGGAGGTACAGCTCTTAAGAGGCTATTGCAGCAATCCACGAAGGAGATGATAATGTCTTTGACTGGAGGGTAGCAGCAGAAATAGAAAGATTTGATGGCAGATTGGGTGTGAGAGATGAGGAAAAGAGAGGAGTCGAGAATGACTCCTAGTGTTTGGCTTGAACCTTTGAACTGATGCGTTCTACATTCCTCTGGCTGGGGCATGGTTGCTAATGGAGTAGGTTTGAGTTTGGTTGGTGGACTGGCTATTTTGGGGGTTTCGGTTTTGGACATATTAAATGTTAAATGTCTCAGACATTCAAGTGTAGCTCTTAAGCAGACAACTGTATGTATACGTCTGTAACTCAAGGGAGAAGTCTAGGTTGGAGCTGAATTTGAGAATTGCCAGTTTTCAGAGATATCTAAAGTCAAGAGGCAAAAATTTCCCTAACCTCAAGGAATAAGGATTCAACTACCTTGAAAATTGTGCACAATCTAGTTTGTCTATGAAATGTAACTTTATAGCCCCTGGGCTGAGACATCCAAATTCTTTTTTTTTAGGGGTCACTGATGTTTATTTTGCAAACAAAACCACTGCGGATGTTGCCGGTTGACACCTCGGGATGACACTGGGACACTTGGTGGGAAGCTTGCAAGAAGGGCGAGGAGTTGAGCTGTCACAGGATCACAAAGGGGGGGGGGTTCCCAACAGGTGTCCAGATGGTCTGACTTGGCTGCAGGGGCAGCTCTAATGAAGCAGTGAGAATGCCAACAGGCTCCAGGGAGGGACTACCAGAGGTCTGCCTGCCCAGCTTATTTGGTGAGGGGATTTCTGAACTTCTGGCCAGCGAACTTGACCTTGCTGCCCAGCTCCTCTTCAATTCTGAAGATCTGGTTGTACTTGGCCAGGCGTTCAGATCGGCATGGCGCACCAGTCTTGATCTGTCCAGTGCAGAGTCCCACCACCAGGTCAGCAATGAAAGTATCCTCGGTCTCCCCAGAATGATGAGACACCATGATGCCCCCACCCATTGCACTGGGCCAGCTGGCACGCCTGCAGAGACTCGGTCACGGAGCTGATCTGGTTCACTCTGAGCAGGAGGCAGTTGCACGACTTCTTGCCCACGGCCTTGGCGATTCGCTTCGGGTTGGTCACTGTGAGATCGTCACCTACCACCTGGATCCCTGAACTGGCAGTGAACTTGGCCCAAGTGTCCCAGTCTTCCTGGTTGAAGGGGTCTTAGATAGACACCACTGGGTAGTTTGCGATGAAGGACTTGTACAGGTCTGCCAGTTGGTCAGGTGAGATGTACCTGCTGGGGTCATCAGGAGACTTGAAGTCTAGGTCGTATTTCCCAGACCTGAAGAACTCGGAGGCAGCTACGTCCATGCCAGTCACCACCTTGTCGGTGTAACCAGCTTTCCCAATAGCATTCTTCAGCAGCTCCAGGGCTTCTTTGTTCTCCAAGATGTTGGGGGCAAATCCGCCTTTATCCCCCACATTGGTGACATCCTTGCTGTACTTCTCCTTGATGACGTTCTTCAGGTTGTGGTACACCTCGGCTCAATGCGCATGGCCTCCTGGAAGTTGGTTGCTCCCACGGGGAGGATCACGAACTCCTGCATGGCCAGCTTGTTGCCAGCGTGGCAGCCGCCGTTGATCACATTGAAAGCAGGAACTGGCAGGATAACTTCGGAATTGCAGGCCAAGTCAGCAATGTGACATTATAGGGGGGGCTCCCTTCTCAACAGCTCCGGCCTTGCACACAGCGAGGGACACTCCCAGAATGGCATTTGCACCAAATTTTGATTTATTCTCAGTTCCATCCATCTCAATCATCAGCTTGTCGATCTTTTCCTGTTCCATCATGTTCAGCTTCTTGCTAACCAGGGCAGGCACAATCGTTTTATTGATGTGCTCAACAGCCTTTGAGACACCTTTTGCCCAGATACCGGGTCTTATCATTGTCCCGGAGCTCCAGGGCCTCATAGATCCCAGTGGAGGCACCCCTGGGCACAGCAGCTCTGAAGAGCCCTTTGGCGGTGTGAAGATCGACCTCCACGGTGGGATTTCCACGGGAGTCGAAGATCTCTCTGGCGTGCATCTTGAGGACAGACATGATGGATTTCTGGCTGCTGGTTCTTGTCGCCCAGGAAGGAAGTGGAGGAGGCTGCAGACACCAGGACGGCTGTTGGGTCAGCAGAGTGCGGATGCTGTGACTCCTGAGAAGCTCTCAACACCCAAATTCTTATTACGAAAACTATGGCTTTCAGAGCAGCAGCACTGGAATCACCTGGAAGATTCCAGGTGATTTGAATGCACAATGATGTTTGAGATGTATTGTGCTCATTAGTGTAATTACTAGCCTTTATTTCAATGTTTCTGGAAATGTTGGGGAATACCCATTCAAATGCTTGTTGGAGTGACACAAAGAATCGGGGACTGATCTACAGAAAAGGGCCAATCATTTGTTCAAGGGACATTCCGGTGCTTTCCTTATTGTAGTCTGAAAAGCATCCTTGGTGGTCCAAGAGAGGTGTCAGTTTCTGGGATAGTGGATTTGTGGACACATCCCTGGAAGGTGAGAAGTGATTCTAGCGGATCACCTAGATCCTTAATACTAGTCTTTTCACAACCAAATAATCCTTGCAGCATTTCTTCCCTGCCTCCAACCTCCTTTCTCTATTTCTGCTTACACCAATGACAACTTTCCTAGTCTCCAGGTAAATGGAGTCACTCTATTAATAGATATAATGTGTTGCCTCTAAAAGTCTTAAAACATTTATTATGGAAGGTGAATTCACTTTATGCCACAGTTCAGTTAGGTCTGTATCCAAATACTATCTCAACCCTCATGGAGATGGATGCATTTATCTTAGTTATCTCTGTCTGTGATTCACTTTAACCCATGATTATAGAAATCCATGTTCAAATATTTGATTTATGGAGATTTTTTAGTAGACGTGTCTTGCATAATATACAAGACTCATTTCAGAAGACTTTTACTTAACTGGAGCTTTTTGAAATCGAGAAATGTTACCCTATTCACTTCTGTAATGTTCCAGAAACAATGTTGGCCACATTTCTAAACATAGAATAAGCGGAATTTATCCTAACTTGGGATTAGGGTGACCAGTTATTTCTGTCTGAAGGGTTTCTTGGGATAGAGGATTTTTGATGCTAAAATGAATAGCAAACAAAACAAAAAACAAACCAATGCTGACTAACAATGACCCCCTGTGAGTTCCTGAGACTATAATTGTTTACAGGAGTAGAAAGCCCAGTTTTTTTCTCCTGAGGAGCTGCTGATGGTTTTGAACTGCTGACTGACCAGATCGCAGCCCAACTCGTAACCACTAGACCACTGGGGCTCAGTCCTGGGAAAACCTGGATGACTTGTCACTTTTCTTTTGGGGGGGGGGGAATAGAAAATTTATTAATTAGACAGTATGTGGGCATCCTGTTCCACATCGGAATGAGAAGATGTAATAAGTTCTCTAAGTATTGCACAGTCTGAAAAGATACCAACACACATATACAAAGGAAAGGGAGAGAAGGGAAAAAAAATCACGTAATCTTGGGAACCATCTCACATTATGAATAATCCACCAAGAAACAATGAAAAAAGACAACCCTTTGTTTCTACAGTAGTTTTGAGTTTATAGTTCTTGGAATGATTGTATCCCACTGAAGACATCGGAGCAACAGGAAGCTTCATTTTAGCAATCCCATGTGCAAATATTAATAAAAACTATATGAAATAATGCAGTTCGTCTCTTGCCCTCCTCCCGGCAATCATGACACTTGTGAGAAGTGTTTTGCTTGGAAAAGGTTAAGCCATCAGTTTTGCCTGAAGCTCCGTCTCTGCAGCCCGTTTGAGTGCAACGTCCACTAGGAGCTGAAAGCCACTGAAATCCTGGTTGCGGTCCGGTGGGGTGGGGGGAGGAGTGTTGAAAAGACCACTTTGTGTATTCGTCCTTGGTCCTGATTGGCAGCTGTCCTCTGGGTACATGAGAGAGGTGTCTGTAAAGTTGCTGGCTGCCATCTGCTGTAGATCTGTGTTTTGTCCCACACCTACTGACTGGCAGAGCGAAAAAGACACATCTTTCGATGCAGTCACCGTGGTATGGCAGATCACTGATGGCCGAGCCAAAATTGATCCCGGGGATGGTGGTTTAGGAGAAAGTGGCCTGCCGACGGTGGGGCTTGGTCCAGCTGTACAGGAATGAAACACACTCTCCTCCAAAGCTGGCATGTAGTTTTTGATGCCCATTACGGACTCCAACGAGTCAGCTTCAGAAATCTTGGCCCCACGGCGAGAAATTGTGAACTGATTGGGGTCCTTGCCATCCTTTCTCAGCATGTCAGGGAGGAGCCTGCGCCGGGCGTTGATGAACCAGTTACAGACCTGTAGTGTCGATAAGTGTGTTTGTTGGGACAGTAATGCTTTTTCTTGCTCTGAGAGATAAGCATTGTATCTGTGTTCATACAGCCAATCCTGGAGAATCTGGACAGGTTCCTTGGGCAAGTTGCCTCTTCTCCTCCTCTTGCCTGAGCC